TGTACGAGACAGCAAGGTTGTGTGATCTACTCACAGTGGCTGTCGTCATTTTGGACTCCAGAATGGGAAGACTTGTCTGCCACATCTGAATGTACTAACTCACAGAATTCCAGGAGACATTACTGAATCCAGGAAATACAGTCAGGGCAGCCATACTCCTAGCAGAGTCAGGTGCTGAACAGGTGAGGAGAGCCTTTTGGGAATTGATCTTGCTCTCTGGCCTGGTGCTACATGTCTCTGGAACTGGGCAATGAATAATATCTCTGGCAAACCAAAGTGAGATGAAGCCTGTTGCGTGTGTATGAATCTGCTAGGCCTTCTGACACGCCAGTCTTTTTTCTCAGCTTTGTGGTCAGCCTTTTGCCTCACCCAGACCCCATCCTGTTCCAAGTCAGGGAAATGCCCCTAGCAGGAAATTGAGTGAGTGAGCAGGATGTGACCTGTGATGAGGCAGCTCCCAGACCTGGCCTGGTCCCTGAGTCAATGAACTACTTCAAGCATTCAAAGGAAGCCCTTCCGCCCATTCACTACTTTCACCGCCTCTTCTGTCACCTCTGTTGTCCCTCCCTACCCAGGTGTAAGTCTTTGGGAGCAGGGAGCTGTTCTTCTCCTCCTCCAAGCCACAAAGGAATAAGGGACTCTGGGGCAAATGGCCTCAGCATGGAGGTGGAGGAAGCTGCTCCTTGGAGATGTCAGTGATCCCCCCCTGGCTAGGGGGTGGCCAGTGGTCTTGGGGTGGAGCCCCTGGGGCCAGGACTACTGGCAGGGCAGGACAGAGGGGGCTGGGTCTGACTGGGGAAGGCTAGCCTGGAAGTAGCTGAGCCATCGGCCCTGGGCCAGGGTGGAAAATATGTGTGTGAGCTCAGTTGGAAGGTGGCTTCTGGCCAGTCAGCCCTGCCTCCCTTCCAGGCCCTGGCTGCCCAGCCCCTTGCAGGCGGCCTCCAGTCTCCGCACTTTCACAAGACTGAGAGAGGAGGGCAGAAAAGCCCAGGGCTGGGGCTAGGTGTGCAGACTTGAGCTCTTAGAAGAGGTATACTCAGATTTGGGGTAATAGATAGGAAGCAGGCACAGGAGCCACAGGACGATGGAGCAGCCTTGGCTGGGGTTTCCTTGGGGCCTTTGGGAATGGGTGCCACCCCTGAAGACCTCCACCCCCCAGGCCCTTGCACACAGACATTCACCAATCCCACCTTCCCTTAGCTGCTGCCACTGTCTCACTCTGTCCCTTTGGCTTCTGAGTCTTGGTGCCACCTTCCTTCCCTCAGAGTACAGCTCCTGTCTCCAAGAAGGGATGTGATGGGCTGGCAAAGTGGGGTCCTTTTCCCTCTGCACTCCTACCTCCCATGATATTGCTGCACAATAAGCAAATACATATGTGCTGACAGATCCCCAGAACACACACTACTGTGAAGACACCCAGCTACACAGGGTCCACACTGGAAGAGACACCCAAGAGATTGCCAGGATCTACCAGTACAGAAGAGGAAACAAATACATTGGAAAGATCCAGGTTTTAAAGCTGAGCTAACAAGCTGTGACACTGACCAAGTCATTTATCTTTCTTGTCCGCAGTTCCCTTATTTGTAACATCGGGACAATATTAGTGCTTATGTCATTGTGTGTTATAAGGACCTCAGCAAATGTTAGTTTCACCATTGCTGGAAGGGAAGGAGGAATACAGAGGGGAAAGAGATGACTGGAAAGTCTGTCAGATTGTGGGGAGAAGGGGCCCTGGGGAGGGACAGTGAAGAACCGGCAGAGCTAGCCAGATTGTGTTTTGGGGTCTGGAAGGGTGTGGGGGCATCTCTGTGCCCAGTCTTCTCTCCTCTAGAGGTCCCAGCTCCTCTTAGATCTTCCCTTTCCTTCCCACTGACCCAGCGCCTGGCTGGCAGCCCTGGAGTCATGGGCCCAGCTGGTGCCAGGAGTCCTAGAGAAGGAGAGGTGATGACAAGGGAGTTCGTGGCCCCCCTCCAAATGTGTGGGGTGCAGTGGTGGGCAGAGTGCTGCCCCTCCTTGGCCCTTGCCCCCAGTCCAGTGTCTCCTTAGTACCAGCTTTCCTGGGTTCTGCCAAACCTCCTTGCAGATTCCCCTTGGCTCCCTCCTGGCTGCTCCAACTCACAAGTGCTGCTTTCGAATAAAGGAACTTGGAACCATAGAAACTGGGTCAGGCCCAACGGACAAATCAGGGTAAGGCCAGTGAAAGCAGAGTTTGCAGGTCTTTCGGAAGCCACAGGGCCCTCAGCTCTCCCCTCACCCCAGCCTGACCTGGCGGTTCACTCAGTGGGAACTTGTGATCTCTAAGGCACCTCCCAGCTTCCCCCAGCAGCCTCACTGGGGTGGATCTGGCAGGCCCAGGCACGTCAGAAGCACGGGACGCTGCCGCCTCCACCCCAAAATTTTCTCTGCTGGTGAAGCTTGTTTTTTTAAAGCCAGTAAAATTTAGTGGGGGGTGGGGGGGCAAGGTTTATAAGCCCATCTTCCACCTCTTCCCACTTTGTCTCTGGTCCTCCATTCCCATCTCTCCCCCTTGGCTCCAGAGAGCATCTTGTGATTCCAGAATCAGGGCCAAACAATTTCCTCGTGATGGGGAAACCGCACTCCAGCTCGGGAGCCCTAGGTTCCCCCTCCTCTTCCCTCTGGCAGTCCCCCCCACCCCAGGCTCCTCCACTGGCTCCAGCTGTGTTTTGCAAAACTCCCACTGGATAACATCTGTAATTGCCTCCAGATGTGGACCACGAAAACACAGAGGGGCCATGAGCTCATCTTTGAGTTCCTTGCCACACGCACAGACCCTACCACCCTCAGATGCCCCTGACTTCCCCTGCCACCTTCTCAAGGTCCCCATCCCCTCCGGTAAGTGTGGTAGGGAGTTGGTGTCCAACTCCACCGAGACACACAGACTCTGCCAAACAGCTGTTGTTAGGGGAGGCGCATAAGGCCAGGCATAGGGTCAGGGTTCCTGGCAGGCAGGAAGGTGGGGTACCCCTTCTGCCAAAGTAATCACACTAACTAGCTCTGAATAGCAGCTGGATAGACTGACTGACATAGTTGGAGCCAGGACTCTTTGAGGCAAGCAGCAGAGGGGGCCTGGGCTGGAGCCCAGGGTGGGTGGGCTGTGGGGGGGCAGGAAGAGAAGGGGGGTGAAAAAAGGGGACTGCTCTCCTCCAGCTGAGCTGACTCAGCACTGAGCAGATTCCTCCCTCCAGGCTGGTTTCGGAGGAAGGGTGGGTAGATAGCCTGGGAACCCTGTCTGGGGCAGCAGTTTCTAAGGAAAGAGGAAGGAAAGCCTTGTTGTTTTGCCCTTCTAACCTGACCATTGTGGTTCTTCCGGGCAATTGGGATGAGATCTCTGTTTGGCCAGAGACAGGCTGCTCCTAATAGGCCAGCAGCAACACCTTTCTCTCTTTCCCCCCATTTCCTTCTGTCTTAGCAGTGGAGCCCCAGGCCTGGAAGAGGCTTCTTAGGTCCTGAGGGCTTGGATGAAGGACCTGCCACTGAGCCCAAGGCTGTGTATGGTGATGGGAATCCCCCTGCCTCTGGCAGACAGGCAAGAGGAAACTGAGGGTCTGCGGGTGGATCATAGGACAGGGTAATGCAATTTAGGAAGATTTTCCAAGTGGCCTCAGCTTGACCACTTCCTCTTGTCTCTGAGCCTTGAGTCTCAAGGCTGCCTTTTAAGCCAGGTGGTGGGAGAGCAGCTGCGCTCCATCAGCCACCCTGCTGTGCCCTATGGGTATGCCCTGCTCCCCAACTCTAGCCCCTGAATCCCTTTAGTCCACTAAGAATAAACATACTCCTTTATAAAAAATGCCAAAGCCCCACTTCAGAGAAAACACTGCTCATGATGCGTGCCCTCCCCTCGTCCAGCTCCTCTCACCCACAGCCCATCACCCTCTACAGAGCTCAGCCACACAAGGAATGTGAAACACAATTTATTCTTTGTGGAAAGGTTGAACAAGGTCAAAATTGTCCTTAGAGGGCACCGACCCAGCCCCGCCCTGCAGGTTCCTGGGGTCAGATGACTCTGCCCCCCGCCCCCCCTCCCCATGCCCCTTGTTAACAAAAAGGAACGATTTGAATGCAATTCATATATAATAATTATAATAAAAATATACATTAGGCTGGGCATGGTGGCTCATGCCTGTAATCCCAGCACTCTGGGAGGCTGAGGTGGGCCGATCACAAGGTCAGGAGTTTGAGACCAGCCTGACCAACATGGTGAAATGCCATCTCTACTAAAAAAGTAATACAAAAATTAGCCAGGCATGGTGGTGCTTGCCTGTAATCCCAGCTACTCAGGAGGCTGAGGCAGGAGAATTGTTTGAACCCGGGAGGCGGAGGTTGCAGTGAGTTGAGATCATGCCACTACACTCCAACCTGGGTGACAGAGCAAGTCTCTGTCTCAAAAAAAAAATACATTAAACAAAACAAAAACACGAACAAGACAGAAATCTAGCTGAACTGCCAGCACCGTTTACCCCATTCCCCGCCCCATTCCCCGCCCCCCACCGACATCCCTCTCCTCTTGCTCCCACCACTGGGTCTCACCCTCCCAAGTCCCCGGTACCATGGCCACCACCTGTGGCCCAAGGAGACTTAAATGGGTGGGCTGGGAGGGGGAGTGAGAGGGCAGGCCACCCGTGAGACAGGCGGAGGGGTGCTGGCACTAGGGAAGCTCCGGCCCAGCCTAAGCGAGCCTCAGCTCCTGCCCCTCACTGAGGTGGTGAGCAGGCTGGGACAGCGTGGCCAGCCAGGCCCAGCAGCCTCTCATCAAGGCACTCGTGACTCCTATATGTGTCTTCTCTGCTCCTTTCTCTGGGCTGCCCCACCCTTCCCCTCCATGCTGCCTGGGCAGGGAGGACAGGGACCAAGAGGAGCAAATGTGCCTTCCTCAGGGTCCTTCCTGAGAGCTCCACAGCCTACCCTGTGGCCCCCTGCTTGGCTTGGCCTGGCCTGCCTGGCTCCAGCCCCCCAATGCTGCTGGACATCCTCATTTTCCCTTTTGGTTCCATCCTGCCCCCTCTGGCTGCTCTGCCCTTGGGCCTCAGCCCCAGCTGCCTGAGTTTGGGCAAGGTTCTTTCTCTGTGGCCTTCAGGGTCACTCCCAGGGTTCTGACCTGGGCCTTTCCCACTGGCCTCATTGTACCCTGACAGCTGCACCCCTGGTTTTAGCTCTTCTAACTGTGAAAGCCTCATCCAAGGCTAACATTCAAGAGGCATAGGGCTGCTAAGGGCTTCTTCTGCCCCATTAGTCCCCAATGGCTCAGGCTTCTTCCTGGGAAGCTCCCTGGGGTAGGTGAGGCAGAGGCAGATCTCCGAGGAACTTGATTGAGCAACTAAGACCCTCTCTGAGTTTTCCTCCCAAGGTTTTAGGGTGGCTGGGCAGTCCCCACCCCCTCACACTGTCTCAGGGTCTCTACCCCCAACAAGATTAGATTCCTTTTAGCCATTAGAGTAGTGAGAGGCTGCCAATTGGGTACACCTGGGGCTTTTAGGGCTGGAGTGCCCAGAGCCTCCTGAGGTCAGAGTTCAGAGGTTAAGATATGTCAGGGGATGGAAAAGGAGCAGATGACCCCATTTGACCTTTACCAGCGAGGTCTGAGGGTCCTGCCTTCAAGTGCAGAGCCCCCAACACATTCAGATGGGACTGGACAGACACAAAGCTACAGGGTTCCGCTGAAGGGCAGAGGCTGGAAGTGGGTCACCCGCTCACTCAGCCCTCAGGGGACTCATCTAGAGAAGATGCAATGCCTGGGCTTGGGGGAGGGGTCAGAGGGAGGGAGGCCAGCCAGGGAAAAGAAAGAAGCAAGGAGGCTTCGGGGAGAGGACTCGGGACGGTGGGAGCAGCCCACCCACCACCACCTGCTGCCACTGGCCTTCAGAAGCAAAGTCCTTGTGGTAGGAGTGGGCAGGCCGGGGGTGGGCGTCAGACCTTGTCCAGCAGGGAACGCTGGCAGTAGAGCAGTCGCCTGGGGGTCCCATGGCGTCTGAAGAAGAAGATCGCAAGGCCCACCGCCAGCACTAGGAGCAGCAGCAGCACGGGCAGCACCACGGCAGCTGCGCTCACTGCCCCGCTGCCCTCCTCATCCACCTCGATGATGATCACCTCTGTCTCCTCCTCAGTCCCCTCATCCGGCCGGCCTCCTGACGGGCAGCCCATCCAGTCCCGAAGGGCTGACTTGGGGTAGCCTGGTTCCACCTTCAGCTTCTGGTTGTTGAATTTCCAGTATTTGTTCCCCTTGTAGAAGTAAGTGAAGACTGCAGGGGTGAATCAGAAAGAGGTAAGGAAGGAATGAAAGGTTGGGGAGGAGCCAAAGAGAGGAGGGGAGCGAGAAAGCTCTGTTAATATGAGGGCAGCTGAGCTCCCCTCCACCTCCTTGAGCATCAGCTTCCTCAACTGTAAAATGGGGGTGCTTATGGCCGGGCGCAGTGGCTCGCATCTGTAATCCCAGCACTTTGGAAGACTAAAGCAGGCAGATCACAAGGGCAGGAGTTCGAGACCAGCTGGGCCAGCATGGTGAAACCCCATCTCTACTAAAACTACAAAAACTTAGCCAGTCATGATTGTGGGCACCTGTAATCCCAGCTATTCAGGAGGCTGAGGCAGGAGAATCGCTTGAACCTGTGAGGTAGAGTTTGCAGTGAGCTGAGATCAAGCCACTGCACTCCAGCCTGGGCGACAGAGCAAGACTCCGTATAAAAAAAAAATGGGGGTGCTTATAGTACCAGGGTGGGAGGTGATGGGGATGAAAGGGCGCCACGCATGGAAGCACCTAGCCCAGCGCCTGGCATGTGGTTTATCATCACCATTGTTTTCCACATAGCACTCTCTGAGGCTTCCTTCCCATTCTTCCTCAATTCCCTATTTCCATCCTTCTCTCAGTGACACCTTCCCTTGCCCCTCTCACCTTCATCGCTGCCCATGAATGTCCCTCTGGGAGACTCTGGGATCCCTTCCCAGACTTTGATGTTCTTAGGGTACTCGCTGTCCACTGCCCTGAGCTCCTCGTTGAAACGGTAGTACCTGGTGAAGGAGTAAGGAAGGGTAGTGGCTGGACACGGGGCATGTCCTCAGTGGGCGGCAGGACCCAGACCAAAAGTCACCAGTGAGCAAAGGATAGCTCTGTGGACAGGGTGGGGACAGGGGTTTTGAGTAATGAGGGCCTGCTGCTGAAAGTGGCAGAAGGTGGGGGTGGAAGGGAGGGCCCAGGCTGCAAGGAGCCACCAGCAGCCCTAATGACAGTGCCTGGCTGCTGGGGCGGAGGCACAGAGCTGGGGACAGGAGGCGTCAAATGACCAGGTCTGAAATGATGACCCGGTCACATCCCACTCACATGGTGCCCAAAGGAGGTTGCCCATTTCTAGGCAACAGCAGAGACTCAGCCAGCTCCTTCTCCAGGGAAGCATCTTGGGGGTAAAGTGGGTCTTTCTCCAGAACTGAGGGAATTTGGGGTGGTGGTTTCTGAGGGAGGCCTGGGATTAAGGGATTGAGGTCTTACTTGTTTCCCCGGAAGAAGTAGGTCTTTCCATTGGGCATCCAGAAGAGAGCAGCATCAATCCTGTCGGCAGGCAGCCCTCGGCCCAGCTCCTTAATGTGCTTGGGGTAGCCAGGTTCCAGGGACGCCTCATCAAACACCCAATGTTTGTCTCCTGGGGAGGAGAGGAGGCAAGTGTCTGTGTTCAACTTGGGCTCTAGGGACTTTAGAGGAAATCAGTTCCTCTACAGAGACCCTCCTCACTCCCAAAGCTAAAGTAGAGTGCTTGGTTACCTTTGAAGAAGACGAATTTGCCATCCTTCCTCTCATAGGCAGTGTTGATGGATGCAGGCAGGCCCCTCCAGAATTGGCCAATGGGCAATGGATATCCATCCATTACTTGGTTATTCCTCACCCGCCAGAACCAGCGCTCCTGGAAGCCAGTCAATGCAGGAAGAGTCAGTCCATTACATCTTGCGGTTTAGATCTCTGACTCAGTCCCCAAAGCTCCCCACTGCCCTTTGTTCCTCAGTTTTAGTTTTCAGTCCAGCTGTTGCCATTCCCACCCAGCCTCCGTATCGTAGAGCCCTTTTGTCTCACAAACCAGCCCACTTCTTCCTACCTTGAAGACAAACATCTCCCCTCGGAGCATGGCCACGGTGTCAAAGTTCCCATCACAGATGTTGGGCCCATAGGTGGGTTTTTTAGGCTTATCAGGAACAGAAGGCCGGGAGGTGGTCCAGGATTGAGGGGGCATCTTGGTGGGAGACCCTGACTCACTCCCTGGGGCAGAGAACACAAGGGGCACTTCAGACTTAGGAGGAGAGCAGGGAGGGAAGGGCAGACAGATGGCCAGACAATACCCTTGGAAGGGTGTGGATGGGCTTCTAGGGGAGGCTGGAGCAACCAACTGGGAGACGACAGAAAAGGTGGGCTCAAAAGTGGAACCGAGAGAGGCAGACTCAGGTTGGCAGGGGGCAGTGCAGAGTGTGTAGGGCATGAAAGGGGAAATTCGAAGACCAGGAGGGAACAAGGTGCGGTGGAGGGAGCAGGCAGGGGTGTAGACTACTCGCCATAAAGTTGCTGGATGCCCTGGCGGTCATCATCAGGCAACACAAAGTTCTCTGTGTCCATCCACTGGTAATAGGGTGCCATGATGGCCGAGGGGTCATTGGAATGCTCGAGCCCCAGGGCATGGCCTAGCTCGTGCACAGCCACCAGGAAGATGTCATTTCCTGGAGGGATGGGGAGAGTTATGATGGCAGCCTGAATCCCTTCCCTCAGGCTCCCTGCTTCCCCACCAGAGGCTTCACTTCCGAGCCTGCTACCCATGTTTTTAAACCAAAGTGACCAAATTCTGATGTCCAGCTTTTTTTTTTTTTTTTTTGGGACGGAGTTTCGCTCTCGTTACCCAGGCTGGAGTGCAATGGCGCGATCTCGGCTCACCGCAACCTCCGCCTCCTGGGTTCAGGCAATTCTCCTGCCTCAGCCTCCTGTGTAGCTGGGATTACAGGCACGCGCCACCATGCCCAGCTAATTTTTTGTATTTTTAGTAGAGACGGGGTTTCACCGTGTTGACCAGGATGGTCTCGATCTCTTGACCTCGTGATCCACCCGCCTCGGCCTCCCAAAGTGCTGGGATTACAGGCGTGAGCCACCGCGCCCGGCCCATGTCCAGCTTTTTATCTGGCAGTTAAGGCACAGAGCCAGTCAGCAAGCTTCTCTGGGTTGAGGTGAGAGAGTGCTTGGAGGCAGGACCCCCATCCCTGGAAGACCTGTGTTAAGGGAAGCCAAGGCCCTTTCTAGTCCTCAGTTTCTCCCGGGAGTTAGACATGACATAATCTGGAAAAGTGGGTAACAAGGAGGCTTTGAAGTCCTTGACTGGAAAACCAGTCAGTGAGTGACAGGAGGAACTAGATGTAAACAGCTCAAGACAGGACTCCTGTTTTTGTCAGAAGTTAGATCAGAAGATCCTTGTGGACCCTTCTAGCCCCAAGATTTTGGGAGGAGGGAGGAGAACCACCCCTACAAATGACTGTTGGCTTTTTCCAGAGTAAGTTCCAAGGATACTTTGCTCACCATCCAGATTCGCATTCCCAAGAGTCCAAGGCTCAGCAGAATCAAAGTGGGTGTCCCCTCCAATGTTGGGTCCTGGGAAGTAGGCATGGGCCAGGAAGCCGCCCTCACCATCGAAGGGTGAGCTGTCGCCATGGAAGCCCTCGGCAAAGAAGATCATGATGTCGGCCTGCTTCTCATGGCCCTCACGGATGTAGGCATAGGGCACCTCACGGAAGCGCAGTGATGTGGCGCTCTCCCACACTCGGATCGCCTTGCGAATGGCCTCGTAGGTGGCGTACTCGCCCACCTTGGGGGTGTAATTCTGGATGCTGAGGTCCAGTCACGTGGGGAGAGGATGAGGTGTGTTAGGATAACGAGGGGCAACATTCTCCTTCCCTGCACTCTCCCAGGTCTGACTGCGCTGCCCAGCCACCTCTGCCTGACCCAGCTCTTCTGCTGCCTCATATACGACCCCTCTGCTTCGAGAACAAGGGATCCTCAGGCTTTGGCTCTCTAGCTTTGGGGTGCACCCTCAATGGCTGCACCTCTCTTCAGGGTGAGAGCCATTTTCCTCCCCACTCTCAAGGACACTTCCCAGGAACTGAGGGGAGTAGGACAGGAGGAGGTCTCTGAGTCTCTGCAGAAGCACAATGGATAGGGAACAATAACCAGATGTGAGAAAGGTGGCTTGCCTGTTGGACTCACCAGAAAGTGATTTCATTATGTTGCCATTTGACACTCTGGATGGCATAGCGCTTCCTTCGAACATTGGCCTTGATCTCAGCCCCAAACTTGTCTGGAACACCACACCGGGGGCGCCTCATGGCCCTGGAGTGAGTTAGGGTGTGAGGATTGGGGTCAGTGCAGTGTATGAAAGAGAAAGGTCTCCAGCATCTGTGTTGGGTAAGACTTGCTGTGTGTCAGTGTGGGGAAAGGCCAAGGTTATGAAGTCAGGGTGAACATGAGAGGGTCGGGATCGGCACGTGGGGATGAGGTATGGGTGGCACAAGCTAGGCATTCAGGTAGGAACATCTCTGGCGCTAGTGTTGTCAGTGGGTGCTGGCAGAACTCTTGCCAGGGTCTAGCACTTACTTTATGGTGTCTGCATCAGCTTTGCCTGTTACTTGCAAGCCGTAGAACTTCTGCATGGCAGCGATGGCCTCTGAGAATGACTTAGGTGAGCGCTGTGTGTGGGTACGTAGGTCCCCAGGAGGCAGGTAGCCATACTGCTGTAGCCAGGCCTGTAGGGAAAGGGGTATGGCTTACAGTGTCCCCACCTGGCCCATGGGGTGCCTCTACCTCCCCCACAATGCTTGTCATACAGCCTTCGCTCGGTGAGTAAAGGCCAGTGGGCTCTCAGCTTGCCTGAACTCTGGCCCAGGCCCCAATAGGGCTTGTCCCCTTGGGTCTATGGGCCCAAACAGAATTTGGCTGTAGCTTTCTTGAAAGTGAGAGCCCTGGTGGTTTAATGGAGTTCTGAGATGTTTTCTTGGAGCTGTGATTCTTTCTAGCAGTTTTCTCCTTCATGTCAGCGTTCTTGCAAATATAGTATGTTCCAGCTGGTAATGGGCTGTGCCCATGATGGGTGGAGAAGGGTGTTGACAGGATGAGTGAGCTCTACTATTGGGCTTGACATGAAGCCCTCCTGGAATGGGAGTGCCATGTCCCCAGGACCCTCACAGCTTTTTAGAAAGATCTTTTTAGAAAGGACAGAGGCCAGGTGTGGTGGCTCATACCTGTAATCCCGGCACTTTGGGAGGCTGAGAGGGGTGGATCACCTGAGGTCGGGAGTTCGAGACCAGCTTGGCCAACATGGTGAAACACTGTCTCTACTAAAAATACAAAAATTAGCTGGGTGTGGTGGCAGGCACCTATAATCCCAGCTACTCCAAAGGCTGAGGCAGAAGAATCACTTGAACCTGGGAGGTGGAGGTTGCAGTGAGCTGAGACTGCACCACTGCACTCCAGCCTGGGTGACACAAGACTCCGTTTCAAAAAAAAAAAAGACATCCAATTTTTGGGGGAAAGAAATAAGAAAAAAAAGAAAGGAAGGCAGAAAAAGAGCTAGCACTAAGGCTGGCCACTACAAGGGGAAACTGGGGACTTGGGATGTGGTAAGAGGTGTGGTCCAGCTGGAGCCAGGATCCTGCCACTGTCCTTATTCAAGCAGCATCTGGCCTATGGCTTGGAACCTAAAGGCCCATTTAAGATTCTCAGCAGAGGAAGTGGGAGATAGCAGTGGAAAAGGAGACTTGGTGACTGTATTTTATTTCAGTTATGTTGTGAATTGGTTAGAATATAAATGCTGGCATATTGCCTTAAATTAATGTTAGGTTTTTGATGTTTGATTAAAAGGTACACACACTGCGAAGCCCTGTTGAGGAGAAAGTCAGCCTTTATTGTAAGAACAATGGAGTTTTTTCCTAAACTCTTAAAAGTAAAACAAGCCAGCCTGGGCATGGTGGTTCATGCCTGTAATCCCAGCACTTTGGGAGGCAAAGGTAAGCGGATCACCCAAGGTCAGGAGTCGGAGAACAGCCTGTCCAACATAGCGGAAACCCTGTCTCTACTAAAAATACAAAAATAAACTGGGCATGGTGGAGGGCGGCTGTAATCCCAGCTACTCCAGAAGCCAAGGTAGGAGAATCACTGAACCTGGGAGGCCAAGGTTGCAGTGAGCAGAGATTGCCACTGCACTCCAGCCTGGGCGACAGAAAGAGACTGTCTTTAAAAAATAGTTAAACAGCCGGGCGCGGTGGCTCAAGCCTGTAATCCCAGCACTTTGGGAGGCCGAGGCGGGTGGATCACGAGGTCAAGAGATCGAGACCATTCTGGTCAACATGGTGAAACCCCGTC